TAAATCATGAAATTATATTGTAGTCAATACAAATAAAAAGCCAAGAAGAGAGTTTGTCACTAATATTTAATGAAACTGACACTACTGTGCTTACATTTGATGTGTATAAACAGTTGTGCTAAATCCAAAGCACTGCATTATGGACGTGAGGAAAACCACAGTAGTTTAAGTCTCCAAGGTACCACAGGTTGTCCTGCATGACAAATGATGGAATAAAATGATAGCTCCTGAAATAACTAGTGATTTTATGTATTATAGAGTAACTTACGGTGAGAAAAGTGGAACTTCTTAGCTATGCATGTGACTAATTTGTAGATGCTATTTTATATGATGAATAAACTATTTGGTTTTCTCATAAATGGTTCCATAGTCTATTTGAAAATCATAAATTTGTACAATTAGGAAAATGTGTACCATTGGGGGAAGGGAGGATCTATGTATAAGTGTGTGCATGTGTGTGTGTGTGTGTGTGTGTGTGTGTGTACACATAGGTGATTTAAGGACAGGAAAAACATGATGGCATAAAAGCTTCTCATGATGATTTTAAAGACAAAGTCAACTGTTCAGACTTAAATCATCTATCATTTGAACTCAACAACTACTTTGACTAAATGTTTCAATGAAACAGCCAATAGTTGATGAACCAACTAGCAATTACAGTATCATGTAGACATGTCCAGAATTTTAAACATTTATTAAATCTAATGTTAATATTCCCAAAGTACCCTCTAAAATATACAAATGAAATCTTATAATGAGATTACTTATGAAAGTTCATACTCATTTAATGACTTTTATAAAAAATTTGACATTTTGATTTAATAATAGCTATAAGTTGAATTTATAATTTTAGATTTTCCTACTTTAATCTGGGCTTCAGAACATTTTCGTGAATGCTAAACTCTGAGCATTAGAAATAATTAAAATAATCTCCTAAGGTTAAAATAATAGTACCTTTTCCTAATTAGGTCTTATAAATGACCTGTGAATATTCAAAATCTTTAAGTTTAAATAGTTGAATATTTCTAGATATATATCCAGTAACTGTCAAAATACATTCATAGATATCCAGCCCTGTCGTCA